TGTAACTGCAATCTCCCCAAGGAGCTTCCATACACTATAAGGCAATGTCTCTGGGAATGTATCAGCTCAGAGTTTCAAGCAAGGAGCTTGAAGGGAAAGATCACCTCGCACGGAAAAATGAATCGACCAATTGATCATGTGGAGAAGGTGTTCAACACCATCCTTGCTTTTATTGTAGTTCCTGGTATGGAGTTATGTCATTTGATCTGATTTCAATCTGCTGCTGATCTGCTCTCTGGTTTTACCTTTTGAACAATAATGTCTCCAGTTCAATGACTGGTCAGCCCTATCCAGACACCGGAACAGTGACAGCAATTCCCTGAGCAGTATTCTTGATACAAATCTCCACTGACAGTGACTCTCAATATTGATGCTGCTATAACATTTTCTGATCTCAGTGTTTTGTCATCTGTTCCGGTTTCATCTGGTTTGAAGGTATGAAGAGAGATCAGGCAAGTTAGTTCTGAAGAAGGGTCACTGGACATGAAACATTCACTCTGCTTTCTCTCCCAAAGATGCTGTCAATCCTTCTGAGCAATTTCTGTTTGTTTTTATACAAGTGAGGCCTGTTTCCTCAAGAATTTTTAATGTTAAGGGTGATCTGAGCGAAGTCCTACAAGGTTATAACAGGAAGAGACGGGAAAAGATAAACATTTTTCACTGGGTGGGGATTCTAGAAAGAGGGAGCAGACTCTGAGATCGAGGGCCAGAGTATTCAGGAGAAATGTTCGGAAGCACTTCTATACACCATGGGTGGGAGAATTCTTGGACTCTTGTCCACAAATGGCAGTGGATACTGGATGGGTTGGTCAGTTTAAATGATAAGGTTTTTTTTTGTTAAGCAAAGGAATTGAAGGATATACATCCCGTTTTTGTTTGTAAAGCTTCATCTAACTACCAACGCTTCCGGAAATTCTCCTCTCCTCACCAACTCTGTTCAAAGAATTCAAATTTTCACAAATGCCCCTCCTGATCTTTGGACGTTGAGACGTTTGTCATGTAGAGATGTGTAGGAGCACACATCTGAACATGTAGCTGAGGAAGCGTTGCACACTCTGTTATGCTGCACTTGTCGAACACACATGGAGAAGTCTTGTTCGAAATCTAACGGAGGGTTTGACGGCCTATTTCCTGGTCGTGTTGTGGCTCCAATCAGCACTTGGTCCAATGTTAAGAGCAGGGGATGAACTGATCGAAGGAGGACTGGAGAGTTTGGTTTATTGACAGTCCAATTGCCAGTCCTATTACAGAGTTGGGATCATGTTTCTCATCGGATTTGGTGTCTGCCAGAGTTGGAGCTGAGAACTGTAAGAATATATCATACTCATTCAAATAGTTACCTTGCAGCCAAATAAAATCACGGACATCCTTCTGGTCTCCTTGGAGCAGGGGCGGTGAGCTCAGTCTCTGTCTCAACTTCATAATATCTGGAGTGATTGACCTTGAGGACAATCTGAAGTTAGTGTAAAAGTGTTAAAATTTGAACTCACTCAATATTAACCACTTTCAATCACACGGTGCACTGGTTTTTAAGAGGCAAAATCTTATTGTTGCTCTCTGGAACAGGCAGGGGGCAATTTCTGATCAGTAATTCACTGCCTCTTTTCCCATTTGTCTTCCACAGTTAATTTGCTGGCAATTGTTATGCTTTCACGGGGAAAGTGCGGTGTGTCCTGTTGCACTACTCGCTACCTCGTGCTTATGGCAGCTGCAGATCAGATGGTCATGATCGCTGAGGTCATACTGAGGAAATTTTCCTATTATTATTTCCCACAGTCTTTCCTGGACATCACTCCTGTGTGTCGTGTTATTGGGGCCATGTCTCGTTTTGCCATTGACTGCTCTGTTTGGTTCACTGTCACTTTCTCCTTTGACCGATTTGTGACCATTTGTTGTCAGAAGCTGAAAACAAAATATTGTACAGAGAAAACTGCAACTGTGATACTAGCAACAACCTGCACCCTGTTCTGTTTGAAAAACATCCCCTTCTATTTTCAATATGAGCCTCTGAGGATAATCAACAATGTGCCATTCCACTGTAAAACAAAGTCAAGCTACTTTACTGAGACTTGGTGGGTGGCATTAGATTGGCTTGATACGGCTTTGACACCTTTACTGCCATTCGCTTTAATTCTGTGGCTCAATGCGGTGACAGTCAGACACATTTTAGTGACCAGTCGAGTCCGAAAGAAGCTGAAGGGTGAGAGCAAAGAAGAAAATCGCAGAGACCCAGACATGGAGAGCAGAAGGAAATCTGTGATTTTGCTACTCGCCATATCGGGGATCTTCATCCTCCTGTGGTTAATGTATAACGTAAATTTCTTATATTATGTCATTCAAGGAGTCAATCCTGCCAATTACCCATCTTTTCTTTATGACTTTGATAAAGTTGGTATCATGTTGCGGAACCTAAGTTGTTGCACAAACACATTTATTTCTACGGCATCATTGTCAAGGTTCAGAGCAAAGATCAGGAATGCAGTAAAATACCTGGTTACACTAATTCCTTGCATTATGAGCAAATAAAACTCCTCAGTGAAGCCCACAGGAGGGTCTTATTCTTTCCCAATGCTGAAGTGATTTTTTTTTTAATTCACGTGTGAGAATGTGGACATCACTGGCTGTGTCAGTATTTATTGCTTGTGCCTAGTTGCCCCTTGAGAAGTTGGTAGTGAGCTGCCTTCTTAAACCACCGCAGTCCATGTGCTGTCGGTAGATCCACAATGCTGTTAGTGAGGGATTTCCTGGATTTTGACACAGCGACAGTGAAGAAATAATGATATACTTGCAATCAGGTTGGGGAGTTTGGACGATGCTGTTTAAGGATCTTTGGTGAATCTCTGCTGTGCATCTTGCAGATGGTACACACTGCTGCTACTCAGTGTCGGTGGTGGAGGGAGTGGATGCTTGTGGATGTCGTGCCAATCAAGCGGGTTGCTTGGTCCTGGATGGTGTCAAGCTCTTGGAGTGTTGTTGGGACTGCACTCATCCAGACAATTGGGAAGTTTTCAATCGCATCCTGACAAACAGCCCTTTTCCCAGCGAATAACCTACTGATTGCCCATCATAGCACAATCCAAAGTAATTGTCCAAGAAAGTAGAATGTCCCACTGAGTAATTCCTATTAGCTTCGAACCCTCTGCAAGTCTCCATCAGAAAATATTCCACTATTAAAGACATGGTCTCACTCCTCAGTGACAATTCAACAGACTCCATTGTAATGTCACAAACTGCCAACTATGAGCTGTTTCGATGTGAGAAATTGTGGCAGGTGATTACATGACGTTATCTGAACCGACCACGAAACAAATGATAACAATAGCTGGGCTCCCTATTTTTCAGCCCAATTCCAATGGGCTGCTACTGCAATGCAGTCTAATTGGAAATTTCCTGTCATGTGGTGCAGAGTCAAAGAAGTGCAACATCTCTCCCTTTGTCGCAAATGACACAATCCCACCCTTTGCTGGTCACACCACGCCACTGCACAGGGGGTGGTGGAGGATGAAAATCTCAACGACAGCGAGGGACGAAAGGCAGCAGCGCACAGCACCATCCAAATTGACAGCACAACCAACACAGACACACACACAGACACACAAAGATGGTGTGGGGAGGGTTGCAATTCGATTGAGGTCTTTCAGTGTGGAACATTTTCATGTGGAGGAATATTGTGCTCGCTCTGCAACGTAGAAGTGATTTGTCTTTGAGAAGTTTTTCTGATATTGTACACATTAAACAGAGTGTTTCCACTGCAATTGTATCCAGGCACCTCCGAGTGATCCAGTTCATTGGGAGACAGGATGGATTTTATTGCACTTTCTGCAGCTTACAATATTTTCTGATGCACTCTCACAAATTCGAAGTGAGAAAGGATTCAAAGGTGGAGGGGATGAGATCACCACTGGGCATGTTCCTCTCCTTCTCCTCATACCTCAGGGACAACATCGCAAGGGATCGGGTAAAACTGTTCTGTGTCTCCAATGACATTCTTTGAAAAACGAAACAAACGTGCAATGCGAAAGATTCACAGACTTCGATGTTTTCTCCAGAAATAAAATCTGCTCCTCATGCAGTGGCGTAGGGTGTCCAGCAGACAGTGGTATTGTATAACTTTAAACACGAGAGAGAAAGAGAGAGTGGAGTGGAGTGGAGTGGGGTACGGTGGGATAGGAAATTCGCACCCCAAATAACAGAGACAGAGAAACAGAGGTACACACAAACATAGAAAACAGACTAATACATTCCCAGGCCGAATCAAACCCCAGGAGTCTGTCCCTTCTCGGAGAGCGAAAACATCGTGAGAACGGGGACAACTGGAATAGTATCACCCCTTCAGTTTGTCCACGTCTTCAATCCTGTTTGTATCTATCTGACATTTCCCTTCTGTCTTTGTCGGTCATTCCGTCTCTCTCTGTCCTGTCCCACCCCCATCCTCGCTCTGTGTCCGTCTCTCTCTATCTGTCCTCTCTCTCTCTCACTCTGTCTTTCTCCCGCTCTCACTCTGCCCTTCTTTCTTCCCCTCCATCTCTATTTCCTTCTCTCTGTCTCTCCCTGTTTCTGTCTCTCTCTCTGTCCTTATCTGTCTCCATCACTTTTTCTCCGTCCCCACTCTCTCCATCTCGTTTTGTCACTTACTCCCTCTTTCTCACTCACCTTCCCTTTCCCCGTCTCCCTTTTTCCCTCTTTCAGACCCGAAAGTGCCCACACAATTTTGCGTCACACAAAAATATTTCGTCCCCATTTTCACTCCCCGCCCCAATTTATGCCCTTCCCCAAATACTTTGCCATGCTAAATATTCACCTCAAATATTTTGCTCCCCACAATAATGCGCTGATCCCTACTCTCTGTGTCAGAGGTAAATGAATCTGTGTGGACTGACTGGCCTGTGATTGATTGCTGTTATGCTCAGCAAGATCCTCGTCCCAGACTTAGAGAAGCCTCACTGCACAGACAGAGTCCTTTCACCGCGTCATGCCTGCCCCTTCCGCCATCCCTCCGATTAAATGATCTGGTCCAGTCCGGTTCCTCAGGATTTGCCCCTTCCTACGATGACCACTCCTCCATGATACCCCACTCCCCGTCCCTTGTGCTCTCCTCCCTCTTATCCATTCTTCCCCTCAGGAACACAGGGGCATGGCCACTGTCTAATTGAAAGACAAATTTTGATTGCAGGTGGGGCTTTGAATGGCTGCAAACGATACGCTCCGGGTCTCGATCTCCTTTTCCCCACGAGAACTGGCGCTCGAAATCTGCACACGCGCCAATTAAAGCAGCCATAGCGTGCAGGTGCTGGTGTCAGAAAATATAGCTTTTAAAGATCAAAGGTCAAATTTTACGTGTTTCATCAGCAGTTTGTATACACGGTTGAATTAGTCTTATTTGTCTACTTTTAATAGTCAGGCTTGTCAAATGATTCAACTGATACTTTCTGTTAATTTCTCAAATTCAGGATTGTTTTACCATTCAATGGACAAATGGAGACCACACGCCCCACAATGCTCCGCCCATGTGAAACTCCTCTATCACTAACATTACCTTCCCCCTCTCTCTGGGATAGGTGGAGACGCAATTGCGATCTGCGTCGTGACGTTGCCTCAATCGGGACACCGTCAATGGGGATGGACTGCCAAGGAGGGGAAAGGAGAAGGAAGAAGTAACATTGGGAGGCGAAGGGCTGAGAGAGTCAGAGCGTCCCCTTGCGTCACCAGTCTTTGGCTGACCTACCAAATTTCAAACAAGCAGAGCCATGGAATTCCCTGAAAGGCTGAGGGGGAACACATCTGGGGACGGCTTCGAGTAGGAGAGGACAACTGAAAACAAATGCCATAGTCTAAATGCAGACAAATACCTCAGTCATAACAGGAGAAATTAGCTTTTTTAAAAAGAAAAGATCCCAGTTGAATCCTTATCGTCTTTGTTGATTGATTTAGTATGTCAATGAGGGTCCTGTTAACCAGAGCGGAGGAGGGGAATCCTCAGTTAAGGACAAGGGATACGTGAGGATGGAAGAGTACATTATCAGAACAGATGAAGATGGAGTAACAGGGAGAGTGAAGTGGAACTCTTACAGGAAACAGCATGTGAGGACATGTATTTAAGGTAGCTGCGAGAGTGTAACGGATATTGATGTACAGCCTTTCCCCAGGAATGGAAACAGAGGTCAAGGAAGGAACAAGGAAGGGAAAGGTCAGAAATGGATCAGGGGGCCATGATAGATATTGGAAACAAATTAATGCTTTTTTCTGTAATGCGGGCAAGAGGGGGGGGGAATAGCACCAACTGCATCAACGATATATTGAAGGAAATGTTGTGAGTGGACCCCCAACTGGTAATGGACCAAGGAATATTTCACAAACCACAAAAAGAGACAGATACAACCGGGACCCGTGCAGGTAGCCAGAACCACACCTTTGACTCGGAGAAAGTGAGACAAGTTAATGAAACAAAGTTGCAAGGCGACCAGAATTGTATGCAGTATTCTCAAAGTGACCTCACCAACGTTCTGTACAAGAGAAGCTCAAGTTTTGCTCCTTCTCGAGTGGTACATCCACATGTTGAATCAGAACACTTTCTTGAATACACTTAACTTCCTCCCCACCCAAGCCCTTAACATTATGACAGTCCCAGTTTCCATGTTTGGAACGTTAAAAACCCCTTACCAGTACAACCTGTTATTCTCACAGATATCTTTGTCCTTAATTTGCTGCTGACTGTTTGGAGGCCTACACTATAATCCCATCGAGGTGGTGACCCCCTTCTTACTTTTCAATACCACCTATATAGTTTCATTGGGCGATTCCCCAGGAATATCCTCTCTAAATACAGCTATCATGTTGGCCCCACTCTAAAACGCCACTCCCCCTCCTGTCTTGCTTCCCCTTCTATCATCTTTTCCATAGCATCTCTACCCCTGAATAGAGATCTGCCAATCCGGACCTGTAGGGTTCTGGTTTGCGATCAGTTATTTTCTAATATTTAAGTGGTTTGAATTACCCTCAGAGCCCTGGTTCTGGACTTGTCTAGGGAATGGGAAATGAAGGCGGCAGTAGACAGGTGTTTCAGGGCGAAAAGATCTCTGTTTATTTACCAAACAAAAAGTAAGTATAATGCAAGAAGGATGGGGAAATGCAATAGAACAGGAAAAGAGACATGATCAACTCTATAAGAGAACAGGAATACTATTAAATACACTATAGTGGGATTAAACACTATTAGAACCTAAAACAAAAAGTTTTAAATCACAGAAACTTTATTCAGGCTTCCTATCCTTGTGCTCCCAATACACTGTCTCCATCTGCCTTCCCCCACCCCACTCCCCCAACCCCGCTTGCTGGGTGGGAAACTTTGGGGTCTCGGGAGTTTCAGCTCAACATTGTGGTAAAATCCAGCTTTGAAATCTGCCTGGCTGTTCCCTCTTACTTGACCCAGAACCTGGACGAAGACTTTGGGCTGCACAGATTTCTCCGTTTGGGTTGAGTCTGCTGATGCGGGAAGGTGTGTATTGGATCTATCGGGCAAGTACCTG